TTCAAACCCACGTCGCCCTCTAGAACTAGAAAAGACAAATCAAAACGACACTCTGAAGAGTTCTCTACTTCTAGTTATAGTAAATACATTCCGTTGCTTAGCAACTCGTACTATTCCAGGGACCAGTCTAGTGACTACTATAGTGATACTTCCAAAGAACTATGTCAAAATATAACGTCAGTATGACAGTGAAGCACAGTACAACCAGTCCATTTACTTCTGAAATTTACATAGATTAACCTTTAACTGCTGAACTTTTGCACAATTTCTATGTTCGACATCCATTGAGTTTATTTATTTCCTAATTCCATGAAATTTCATTTAATCCTATTGAAAATCTAAAATCACAAAGTTCATGCATTACTTAGGAAACTTTTTACTCAATTTCTGTTTACCATCAAAAGCTTGAGAAATTTAGATGGCTGTTGAAATAGTATATATATATATATTTAACTGCTGAATTTCTCAAGGGTTGTACTGTGCTCCTGTGTTTTATGTATTTTATATGTTATGTCAGAATGTCCGAACAGTTTTACTAAATATATGTAAGCCTCTAACATTTCTAGAGGCATTAATATACCGGTACTACTATATAGAAAATATCTGGTGAAGACCATATGAAAACCCACATGTTTATCTCCCTCAACAGAAGGATGCCCAGTCATTTTGGGGGTTAGAATATCCAAGATATGTAATAAAAACAGCATAAAGATCTACAATATTATAATTTATCACACACCCGTGCCGATTTTGCGACTCCGTAAAAATGGTATTGCACGGCCGTGCATATATATTGACGTGATGTCATTAGCGTTATACAAACATCGTGTAAAGACGCACTATACTATAGACGCGTCAATAAAAAAAAGGGCTCTTATTTCACATTAAACAGTCTTTATTTTGGGTATGTGATAAATAGAATATTAAATTCGTGTAAGTTTATTACTGAATTTATTGCACTCGTTGAATAAAATAATATTATGCTCGCCAGAGGCTCGCATAATATAATTTTATTCAACTTGTGCAATAAATTCAGTATTGAACTTACACTCATTCAATATCCTCTATATAATCTAATGTTGGTGGTCAAATTTTATTAAATTATTACATAATGAAAGATATGATTATTTATAGAAACAACAGTATCAAGAATGTTTGTTCTTTATCAGCTGATGGTATTTCATTGAATTGGGAGATATCTATTGCAGTTTATAGGCTGGTAGTTATCAGTTAAAAGTAATGAAACCGGTGTATATCAACCACAATGATAATAACCAGAGTGGTCTAACATCCAAGCATGTGCATATTTAATTTGTTGTTTATCAGGGATTAAACCACACTGAGGCCTTTCTATTTGTTATTGCTGATATCTAAATGTTTATAAAATATGTTTCATGAATATTAAGACAAAGTTGATCCAATAGCCTGCTGGGCAAAAGCTGTGCTGTAAAAGTAAAATCTATAATTTATTGTCAGCTTTAAGAGAATATATTTGTATTGCATAAGTTATTTTCAGCTAACAGTGTAAACAGTGGCAATTTATTGTCAGCTTACAATGCATATAATGACAATTTAATGTCAGCTAATACATATAATACATGTATAGTGGCACCACTTATTGTCAGCTAACGGTGAATACAGTGACAATTTATTGCCGGCTAACAATGCATACAGTGACAATTTAATGTCAGCTAATACATATAATACATGTATAGTGGCACGACTTATTGTCAGCTAACAGTGAATACAGTGACAATTTATTGCCGGCTAACAATGCATACAGTGACAATTTATTGTCAGCTAATACATGTAATATAGTGGCACGACTTATTGTCACCTAACAGTGAATACAGTGACAATTTATTGCCGGCTAACAATGCATACAGTGACAATTTATTGTCAGCTAATACATGTAATATAGTGGCACGACTTATTGTCAGCTAACAGTGAATACAGTGACAATTTATTGTCAGCTAATACATGTAATATAGGGGCACGACTTATTGTCAGCTAACAGTGAATACAGTGACAATTTATTGCCGGCTAACAATGCATACAGTGACAATTTATTGTCAGCTAATACATGTAATATAGTGGCACGACTTATTGTCAGCTAACAGTGAAAACAGGAACAATTTATTGTCAGCTAATAATCAGCGTAGGGACACAATTTGTTGTCAGCAATCAATGAATATTTACCTGTTCAACCCTACCCAAGTTAATTTTTTTTTGTAAAACTTTTTAGACTGTTACATGATTTAGTTTATAACTGTTACTTGTATTGTTTTAGAAACTTGTATTTTACTGTTTCTGTTTACTATGTGTTCTATATAAAACATTCCTGACAAATATACAATCATTATCATGATATCATGTTTATATTAGTAATTTATTACTGTCACTTGTTGTGTGTTTTGTATAATTCTACTTAGTCTGTGTTCTGACATTGCTTCTCAGTTATCACCAAATTTTTTTATTTTGAATTTGACTTTGAGAAGGATTACTGTTTAAAAGTCAGCATGATGTACTGGCTCCAGCAAATTGGTACTGGTGCAACAGTATACCTGTGTACTGATTGCAGTGTCAGTAGATACATGTATGTTCAGTTGTACGGAATCATTGTATCACTTTTTTTTTTCTTTAACACTTGATCTAAGTATACAGTCATGTATTTCAACTTTCTCAAGCATTGCAAGATTGTATAATGAACAAATAATTAATTAATTTTATTGTTTGATAAGGATTTTAAAGCTAGTTTAGAGTGTTATAAATATATAACCTTTCAAATAATACATAAATGAATTGTTTTGGATAGTTTGTTGAGTTTTAAACATTTCATAAGTTTTATATTGATTTTCAAAGTGGTCAGTGTATTGTAAAATTGATAGACCGTACGGTTGCACCCTTACAAAATTGTAAAGTATGGCATTCATTTTAAAAAGTACATGTTTTTGAAAAATTTGGACATTTTACCTTTTTAAAATGATTTTTGAAATTTTTTCTTATTCATTGTTTTTGCTGCTTTTCTATCACTCTTTTCAAGAATTTTTATTTGATATAAAATAAACATGTATTTCTAAAAATAAATGAAACATATAATGATATTGAAATATGAAATAAGAAATGTTTTACCTTTGCCCATAGAAAACAGGAATCAAAATTGAACCGCCTTTGGCCAACAGGGTGCATATAGGCGTGCATGTTCATGTACTACTTTGAACAGTCTTAAAGTACTGGCATATTTAATTCAAATTTCTTCATGCTATATCTCCAAAATGGATTCATTTCAAACAAAGGGGGCAGGGTGGGGGTGGGGACAGGGGGTCAACACATTCATTTTAGAAATTCCTCAGATACAGGGGATTAACAGTTACATAGTTCATAGTATATTAAAATTACGTCTATATAATATCAACAGAATTTTATCATCATAAATTTGTCCCTTACCTGTGATATGTACAGATATGTTTTACTGAAAATTACAATTATTACATTTATTGAAACTCTTACATGTAGTAGTTTTTATTTTTATCAAGACGGTAGATTCTTGGTTTAATGAATCAGACAATTTAAAAAGATTTTGCTGATATTAGCATGCTTTTTTTAATATTTTGTGTATATTTCAAAGATTCGTTACATATTTTATATTGCATAATTTGATAGTGATATGATCAATATGTTTATTTTTTTCATACTTTGTAAAAGTGCTTATTTTGTGTGCAAACAGCACAGCCATTGTGATAAGGTGCTAACATTGCGAACAAAGTTCTTTTATACATTTTTTTTATAAATAAAAAAGTGTCATATTGCTTATCCTAATTATAAACTTGCCTTTATCTCATACAAATCTGACTATGATGTTCTGAATTTTCATACAAAACTGTCTGGCCATGGTCCACTGAATTTTCATACAAATCTGTCTGGCCATGGTCCACTGAACTTTCATACAAATCTGTCTGGCCATGGTCCATGAACTTTCATACAAATCTGTCTGGCCATGGTTCACTGAACTTTTATACAAATTTGTCTGGCCGTGGTTAACTGAATTTTCATACAAATCTGTCTGGCCATGGTCAACTGCATTTTCATACAAATCTGTCTGGCTAGGTTCTTCTGAATTTTTATACAAATCTGTCTGGCCATGGTCTACTGAAATTTCATATAAATCTGTCTGGCCAGGTTCTTCTGAATTTTTATACAAATCTGTCTGCCCATGGTCTACTGAATTTTCTTACAAATCTGTGTGGCCATGGTCTACTGAATATTTATACAAATCTGTCTGGCCAAGTTCTTCTGAATTTTTATACAAATCTGTCTGGCCATGGTCCACTGAACTTTCATACAAATCTGTCTGGCCATGGTCCACTGAACTTTCATACAAATCTGTCTAACAGTGGTTAACTGAATTTTCATACAAATCTGTCTGGCCATGGTCAACTGAATTTTTATACAAATCTGTCTGGCCATGGTCTGCTGAATTTTCATACAAATCTGTGTGGCCATGGTCTACTGAATTTTCATACAAATCTGTCTGGCCAGGTTCTTCTGAATTTTTATACAAATCTGTCTGGCCATGGTCAATGAATTTTCATACAAATCTGGCAGGCCACATGGTCTCATACAAATTTTACCAGCCATTGTTGACTGAATTTTCATACAAATCTAATTAGCTAATTCACTCAACTATTCTTCAATGAAATTGTATTTTTTATGGTAAAACCACAAAATATGTTCCAATTTTAAAATTCAGAAGTGACCAACTATATTCAGTCACATAATGGTATAGAAAGCTTTAATTGGTTGTTTATCTCTCTCTCTCAGACAACCATGTTCTCATTTTATAACATTGTCTGAAAATATTGTTTTTGTATTTGTCATTTCATGTTTCCATTGTTATGATCTTGATTAAATTATTTTGAATTTATCTGTGTGTTATTTGATTTATCTTACTTTACAAACACCGTAATTCATGTTCTATGTCCTGATATTGCAGATACATTTGTATTTTAATTAAAATGTGATGAATATGATCAATGCCTTTAAAGCAGCCTAAAATAGCTTCTATTTTTATTTGGAAAACAATTCAGTTTTGTTTCAAACTAAGTATTTCCGTAATTTTATCTTTGAAAAGTCCAACATGCCTTCTTCAAAACAGTGTCCCAAAAGCTTTTTAAAGGCGCCAGTAAGGTTTGTTTCTAGAAATAGATGATCTGGAAATGAATTGTCCGTGTTACTTATGCAAACAGATAGATAAGAGGTATCGAGCAGTTTCCTTATTGTTTATGTAATTTATTGTTGGAAAATTTCATTTTAGCCTGTCACATGTCCAAAATTTTCAAAATTTGTATGATTTGACAATTCTATGAAGCGATTTATCTAAAAATTACATTTTTAACCCTAATAGAAAAGCTGAAGGCTGCCTTAAAGCCATCCTTAAAGTATGTTAAAATAATTAAGCAGTGACCTTCAACCTTATCTTTGCCAGAGTGTTGATTGTTACAGTTTTGTTGGAATTCAAAATGGAAACCAAAGAATAATACTAGCCAAGAAAATACAATAGTTAAGTTACCCCAGTAGTTCAAATTGCCAACTTTATAGTCAGTGTTAAAATGGGGTAAAACTAACAGTATGTTAAATATAAAATACCTGAATCTGTATAAATTTACACAGAAATATCTAGTAATTATAACAGTAATATCAGTATTGGTGTAACAAGTTGTCTGCATTGCATTTTACTATTTCTTATATATAACTATACAAAGTCAGGCATGATTATCTTTGCTTTACTCTAATATTAAACTCCAACAAAAGTTCAAATGTATTTGTGGAAATTGCTCATAAAAAAAAGATATCTAAAAAATACAGTAGATTCTGTTTGTCAAAATTTTAAAATGATAAGAATATAGTGAAATGTAAAAAGAATAAGAAGAGATTAGTCTTGATATTTAGAAAGAAAATAGTCAAAATACTGAGCATCATTTATTAGATTTCCCAATCAGTCAATATACATGTAAAAAAAATTACCTTTTTTCCAAGTGCTCTGAATTTTCAAACGAAATGCTTTTGATTTGATAAGAAGAAAAAAAAGAGTCTATAAATCTGAAGTTTTATTATTTCCTGATGATGCAGGCCGCATTGAACACAATTAAGTAAAATGTAACCATAGAGACAAAAATAGAAGAGGGATAGAAATGGATATACTAGGATGGTGTAAGTCAATGAAACCAGACCAACATTACAGGTAATTATCATGGAACTAAATATAAGATATATCTGTGTAATTATACAAGGTATTTCAAAACTGCGAAATTTGAAATACTTTTATAAATATATTTCCTTCTTCAACCAAAATCTTGAGCAAAGTTAGTGAGATTAGTTATAGATCTATTTGCTTGGGCTATCCATAGGTGCATAGTACCTTTTATTATTTTTTATGACAAAAGTATGCTCTTTTATGCTGTTTTATGATCTCATTTTATATATATATGATTTATATGTTATATCTCTTAACTGTATGTATCATGTGCTATGTTCTTAAATATAAAATAAAAATAAAAGATTAACATCATAGATATTTATTTAGGTAAAATAACTGTTATTGTAAAATTTGTCCTTAGTTGAGTTAAATTTTAGAACAGAAAAAGAACACATTCCTTAAGAAAATAAATTGAGAAATAAAGTGGATAAATAAATAGAAAATTTGTGGTGTTAAACCTTTATATTTGACCAATTTAGGATTTTCACGGACAGCTTTTTATTACAGTTCACCGAACAATTCGTAAAAAGCAAAACAAACAAACTGAATAAGGAAGCAAAACGTGTTAATAAACAGTTTAATCAGTCAGTGTTTCGAAAAATAAATACATTGTAAGCATAATTAATTTTCAATTGTTGTGATATAGCTGTCAAAATTAAATTCCTGGATATTCTGTCGTTTTCATCTGTTCATGTTCTAGATTCTCTTACAAGTTACAGACACACTTTGGTGTGTCCCTGTTTTTGATTCACCTGAAACACAACAGGTGTTATACATCAGCTTATCTATCTCTGCTGAACTGTACATATTAATAAAAAGATATAATGTGCAGAACACATATAAAAATTCAACAAAAGACATTGCTGAATTAACTTAACATTTAAAGTTTATCTATTTATGGAATTTTACAGATATGTTACATAAAGATGAAAGTGTAAATATGTAAAGAATTTTTATTAAGATATATTTTTATTTACACTAAAAGAATGCCTAGAGGTTTGAGAACTGGTTAGTCCACAATAAAGATCTCCCAAAAATATCCACCCAACCCCATTCGGCGATGTACACTTTTCATATTTTTTAAAAGACTTAATTACATATATGTTAGAACTATCATGCAAAAACGGAAAGGTTATGATCAGTCCTTAAGTATTTACTTAAAAATACAAGGCTAGATCTATATAGATCTTTATCCTCAAGATAGCTACGGACAAGAAAAACTCTTGGAAATAAAAATAATTTGAATTTTATTAATTTATGCATGCATAATTTAACGATGTGTTGGGTTTTAAAAAGAGACAATACATGAAATTAACATCAACAATACAAAGAATATCAGATGTCACTCTAAATAGTCTTTTTGTGACATCGTAGGATGACACATTTTCTGTATTTGTTGTCACCTAAATAGATCTATATCAATAATTTGCTGGAAACATTGCCCAGTACAACGTAGGTACGCAAATAAGTGAATAGAAAAGAATATATATTTGGCTGATATTATTTGATAAAAAACGGAGGCTAAACACTTATTAGTCCCCTACCGGTTTAACCGGAGGGGACTTTAGGTTTACCCTCCGTCCGTCTGTCCGTCTGTCTGTCTGTCAGTCCGTCCGTCCACAAAACTGGATCCCGCGATAACGCAAAAAGTACTGAAAATATTTTTATGAAACTTGATATATGGATAGATGGCAGTATGGAGATTATGCACGTCTTTTTTTTTTCTTCCTATGTTGAAAATTCTGGTTGCTATGGCAACAAATAGTCTGAAAATATGGCAAATTTAACACATAAACTGGATCCAGTGATAACTCAAAAAGTACTGAAAATATTTTTATAAAACTTGAAATATGGGTAGATGGCAGTCTGGAGATTATGCACATATTTTTCTTTTCTTCCTATGTTGAAAATTCTGGTTGCTATGGCAACAAATAGCCTGAATTTCAAGATTTCTGATTTAAATTTTTCAGCTTTTTCACTATATGTTCTTTATTTCTTAAGGTGTTTACTTCAAACTTTAAATATAAGTTTTTGGTCATCAACCACATCATATGTGACAAGGTTTATAACTCTAGCACAAAAAATATCAGTATTACCTCCCTTGAACTTAGATTTTTTAGGGGAAAAATGTTGTCTTTTTTAAATAACTTCTTTATTTCCTAATGTATCTACTTCAAACTTCATATATATGTTTCTTATTATCACTCGACATTTTGAGAAGGTTAAATACTCTAGCAAGACTATTTCCAGAATTATGTCCCCCTTGAACTTAGATTTTTTTCGAGAAACTGGTATTTTCACTCCAACTTCTTCATTCCTTATAGGATTTACTTTAAAATCCCACATCGTAATAATATGACAAGGTTGTATAAACATAATTTCCTTACTAAGCATGGAAACTTAACACATTACTGTGATATAGACAAACTTATTTTATTATGTTTTGTGGTTGATATTTTCAAATACAGACTTCATCCTCAAATTCATTATAAATGGCAATACACAGGAGTGTATGACAATTAAAGAACTTTTTGAGGGACCGGTAGGGGACTACTGTATTGCCCGCAATACTATCAAATGCTTGTTAACAATAATTTTATTTGTTGCTATGTAATTGTTTTCACCTTGGCTACTTTATGAATATCGGTTTCTACGGGAAGTGACGTCACGCCGACCTTACCAATATAGTGTAATTAACTAACACAAGCAATTTGACAAAAAATATAGGGACAAATATTTTATATAGAGACTCTATATATATATATATATTTATGAGGTAAAGGGTTTATTAATATCAGTAAAACATATTCACCCACTTTTTTGATGCCTGAACATGATAATAACCAGATTGGCTCAGCAGCAGCAAAGGTAAAACATTTTAAAGCATTTTACGGTGGATGCAGCTGCAGTGTTCTTGTTTGAGGGCCTAGAGATTACTGGTACAGTGTTCTGCATGATTGTCAACTTTAATGACACATTTTATTCTATTCATTTTATTTTATTTCAGTACTTAATTGAGGAAGAAGTTACCCTAGAGACATGGAGTCAGGCTTTTATGTGTAAGTTTTGATAAAAAAAAAAAATTAATTAGGGGTGTGCATTGTTGGATAAGTGGCGATCCAATCTGATCCACGATTCGGCACTTACAATTCACAAATCGAACCACAAATCTTTTGTAATCAAGACACCCATAAAAACATAAACATAGGTTCTGAAAACATGTTTATTTTTCAACAATACAATACTAAACGCAAATATGAACTATGTTTATGTTTTTATTCTTTGCATGGGTAAAAGTTTTCAGGATTATTCCTGAAGTTCAGGATTTTCAGTCTCCTAAAAGCCTTCTATTTCCTATGTTAAAACTTTAGAAAAACTGCTTAATTTATAATTTTTGAAATTTCGAACCTTTCACCCATGGTATTTTAATGCACATTTGAGAAAAATATATCTGGATATTTCATGTAGTCTAATGTGATTACTGTAGACAATTTTGTTGAACCACCAGTATAAGTCAGTTCGCCGATGCATGTTTTACAAACTACTTTTTTCTTATGTTCAATTGCAATACCAAAGTATCTCAAACATTGGAAGTAAATTTTGCTGGTTGAATTTTATATTGGCGCGACTCCCTTTCAGCCATTGTGGCAGACAGGATGAGTGACATAAAATTTTTTTGAATTTTATAAAAAACTTCTTTCGATACATGTCAGATTATTATAAATCTTTTTATAGCGACTAAAAATGTTTATTTATTTTCGCGTAAAAACATATTGAATAAAGATTAAGGGATTCCTTGTGAGAAACAGTGAATGTTACTTTGTATATGAACAAATAAGATCGCGATCCACTATGTCTGGACTGACGAATATTCGTACTCCAATTTTCATTTCGATTCGTGATTATCCAAGTACTCGGATACTTGCCTTAGCCCTATTTTTAATCCAGTATCATATTATGATTTGTAATAGCCTATGGGTTAGGTTATCTCCGAGGTGACATTTAGATGTCAATGGACACATTACAAATATTATAAAAATCAGTAAAAGTCAACATTTTCCCTACAATGTATTTAATACACTGAGAAGTAGTAAGGTACAATTTGAGTAATAAGTATTCACAGAAAGTTTTATTTTATGATCATATTTGAAAATGAATGTTATAAACAGGCTCTAAAAGAGCTGTAAGTTTTTTAATGTGCATGGCCATCACACTTTTAATGACAGGTTATGATTAATTAAATATAGTGTCATAAATATTTTTCTTTGACGTATTTGTTTCCAGAGTAAGTGCATGAATATGTTATATATTTCAGGATACTATTACTTCTGATATTTTTGAAGTTGATGATATGGGTATGTGTGTTCTACTCGCGTGCACGTAGGAGGCAGATTGTTACTCAAAGAGGGCTCATCATTGTGCATGGAGATGTTTTGGCGGGCCCTACAAGGGTTTGTTATTAATTTTATTTTAGTCCAAGCAGTGATGAGGCCAAGGCCAATACCTGTAATCACCAGTTTAGAGCCAGCCTGTTTATAGGTAGCCCAGACAGATCTTCCATGTAGTCTGACCAGATTCAGTGCTGATGGCTGTTTCTCATATTTTAATTTGAAGTCTCTTAGTAATCTGTACATGGAGTGAAGACAGTCAAATTTTCAAGGCTAATAATAATAAAAAAATATTAACAATTTTCTTACCTGTATGGCATCATTTTTTTATGGTTAATCTACTTGATCAGTTTGTTTAATAAATGTTTAGTTCATTAAAGAAGTTAATGTACTGTAACTTTATGTCCTTGCCTATTTCTATAACTTGGCACTTTTTAGTTTTTCCCATCGAGTTTTAACAGTATGTTTTTACTTTACATTTGATACACTTTACATACACTCAGTAGGCAAAGCAGTTATACTGTGAAGTATTGATTTATGTTTTTTATAAATTTAACATAGGAAACTCTTTTGCCAATAGATATAAATAGGAATTATTGTAGCAAAATTTATAATTGTAAATATATCCATGAATGTTTTTAATGCAAAATTGTGAAGTATGACTGAAATATGTTTGATTTGATTTAAAATTTGTGTATGATTTAATTATTTCTTGATAATGATATTTTATTTCTAGTTCTTACAGAGCTATTGTTTGAAAATTTTTAGCAAATTAAGTCTTTTGAATGTATTTTCCGGGACAATGTAACATTGTTTGATTTTGGCATTATTTATAGGATAGAGACATGATTATACATGGCGAGCATCCACCTGCGATGTCACCAGTTGGTTTAGACAATCCAGCCATTGTTGCAAATCCACCGTCATACGAAGAAGTTCAACGAACAAAATCCAGCGAGGAAAAACCACCTTCATATGATCAGGTTGTTTGCGGGAATACATTTTCACCAAGCAGTGGTAACATACTTGAACAGCCACCACAGTACAGCCCTGTACCATCCAATTTGCAGCAGACGACAGTCAATGCTGGGCAGACGACAACAGCACAATCCAACACAAATGCATAGGTGTTCTAATTTTGTTGCAGTTTTTCCCCCTCATGTCAGAAATAAAAATAAGCCTAACTCGTACTAAGATATTAATGAATTGTTTAAAATGATAAAAAATAAGTTGTGCAAGTTATAAATTTAAAATATATTTGAGTATGGATGTTAATAATAATAAACAATAAATAATGTACATGTGCAATCAGAATGAGGTACACAACTTGGTGTTCTTTTTAATTTTGTAGCAATTCCTGTGAAATAACAGGGTAATACATGTAAATGTATGCCAAACTTGTTATGATTGCATACTTCAAATTTCTTGCACATATCGGCTTTAGGGTGCCCTCCACCAATAAAATATTTTAAGTTGTCAAATGACCCATCGAGTCATCAGAATATCTTTGTGAGTCTAAGCTCATTTAAAGTTCACTAATCAGTGCCTTGAAAGAACATCGACTGCTGATCACAAGATGAGTCTGCGACTTCTTAGATAGATTATTAGAGCAATGATTATTTTAATTGAATCTTACATAACAAACATATATTATTGTAGTTTGTAATTATATTAAGTTGAATATACTTCATATGTTGTGAATATTGAGGCTCAAGCTACTATTGTGTTCAAATATTTTTTTATAAGGTATACTTTTGTGTATGTCTTGATAAATAAAACGCAGCTTATATTTGAAAGCATTATATAAATTCACTTCAATTCGATTCAGTGTGCTCACATAAAGTTGTACAATATTTTTTTTTTTTTTAAATTATGCTTGTACAATTTTTTCATTTTATAGTAAATTTCAAACCAGTATGATATTTCAGTATGTTTCAATTATTCAGTTTTAGTTAGCTGTACATGTACATTTAATCAGTTATTTCTAATTGTAAATTCATTCATGCTTTGTGAAAACTATTTTTTTTTATTCTGCTTTATTGATTTTATGTAAATGGCAAGATTTTGGTATTGTATGGTTATTGTATTGTTGCTTTTGATTAAAAAGTCTATGCTTTTGTAAACCTCACTTTTTCTGCAAATCCAAAAATGGCAAGTTTTTTTTCCTCACATATGTTGATTAGGGGAGGGGTTAGAGATAAGCCACTCCCATTTAGTTATTTTTTTTATATTTTTTTTTAATGCGTTTATTTAAGGGCGCCGCCGGAAAGCCCATATGGGCGACCGTACACTCAAGTCGGGCCATCCTAGAGCGTCCCGCCGAGATTTACCATTTAGTTATAATATTGAATGTGTAAGTGGGAAAATCACTTTAGTTACACCCCATAGATTTTTTTTCTTTCATTTGTGTAATTGTACACTTTTTGCATTGTTCTCATGCATAATCATTATGGTACATTTGTATCTGAACTGATGTTGTTTTTTTTTCTTCGATAACTTTTCATCAACACATCTGATATAATTTTAATTTGATTTAGAGAATCAGAATACTGATGGCATAAAGCCTGTAGTATCATTTGAGTATTATTATTTGTGATATTTTTTAACTTGATAAAATCCTTTAACCTTTAACATGCTGGAGCTGAAAGTGATAAGCTCTTTGCCACCAGTATAGAGCCAGGCCAGCTGGCACATATGTGCATTCTGACCAGGCTCTATACTGTTGGTAGCTCAATTTTTGTATTTTGATATTGAAATCCCTAAAACTTTAAATGGACTGTTCCAAATTCAAAGTAGGGCAATTTCCATTACACTAATACAGCAGGTTTAATTTTAACAAAACCAAGAAATAACAGGCCAAATAATACACCAAAAGGATTGTCTTTTCATCTTAAAAGTATTTTTGTACTTAAGTATTATTTTTTAGCATAATTTTAACCACATGTTGATATTCTGTCAAGGTGCAAGCTTTAACAGACTGTTCTGAAATAGATAAAATATTAAAACAAAGTGATTCCTACTAAAACATTCATTGTGTATGTTATAGCTTTGTAATAAAATTCTTGCCGCACATTTTAAAAAATGCCATCTACTTAGAGCAGTTACGTGTTTACTTCTATTAAAATTGATAAGGAGTTAACCCATTACTGCAGTAAGGTGAAGAAATCTTGATTTCTGAATCATATTTTAAGTGCCTTAGATAAATTCCATATGTACTGCATGTTCTTCTGTGATAAGATATTAATAAACTTTTATATTTTTTATTTTGTTAAATAGGGGATATTTTAGCTAAATACCTGTTTTGCTTGTTAAAAAAAGCCATTGTTAGATAGTCTTTGAATCTTGTATTGGGATTGTTTTATAAGAACACTAGTGTACCTTGTTGAAGAATTTAAGCTGTTCGTTTATTGTCACGAGAGGCTGGCCTCTAAGTTAATGATACAATAATGTAACCCTGTCCCTGCATATGAGATGGGTTTACCCATCTATTATATTGTATGGCAAGTATACCTAGTTTTGTCTGATTTGAGATCAAGTGTTTTGTTATGAAAAAAAAAAAAGTTAATTTATATAAAATATGTTCATATTCCCAAAAATAGCTTCTATAGTTTCTGTTATTAGCTTGTTATATTCATTAATTTTTATTTGCAAAAGTGTGTTAATTGCTGTGGCAGCAAAAGGGTTTAGTAAGATTTTTATATAACTTATAATGAAAAATGGCTTTAAAGGAGAATTTGATTGACATCTTTATAAAATACTTGCACCTCAACCTTTCAGTCCTTTCTATAGCATAATTTTTCACTGATTTGATATCACATATTCTTCTTCTAGATTATTTATTACATTGATTGTGTGAAATATTAAAGGATGTAGTGGTAACATTTAAGTAAGTGTGATCAAGCCTATTTTGAAGGAGCCAGTTGATTTTATGTTGCATAGTTTAGCTTTGAGCACTGCTAGGGTTATACAAGTTGAGAAATCTATTTACTGCATTTAAAAAAAAAATTGCAGGTTTAAATGAAATGGCCATGCATGCTTAATTTCAACATTGTTACAAATGATAATTAAGGTAATTATTTAGTTATCATATAGTTATAATTGTATAAAATGTAGAATATAAACAAAAACCAAATAATAATTATGCATAATAAAAAGTTGAAAATAAAGGACCCGTCCTGGCCCTCTGGTTATCATAAACTGAAAGTAACCCAAACAAGTTAGTAACTTATGAAGGGGTACCAATATTCATACAAACGCACATACTGATCTAAATTGTCATTAGAATATTTAATTTATTAGTTATTACATAGTGTCATTTTGTCCTAATCAAACTTTCAGGAGTTATAGTAAACATTTGTTAATGTATTTTATTGTATTTTAATGTACTAGTATTGTATTACTTTAATTTTGCTTGTTACATCTTGTATTATTATGTATTTTTCATGTTAAAAGATATAATATACTTGCCCTAGTGATATAACCATGTACATGTACAAGTATCTCCTCTTGCATCATCATACATTTTACCCTTAAAGCACAGGTTTAAGGGACCAGATATTCATGTTTATAACAAATTTTACAACTGTAATGTAGGGGATTTTTTTTAATTTTTACAGCATTTCACAAATGATCAGCATTTGGCCGTTTTCCTTTTGTTCAGTATAGAAAACCTTGTCCTAGGATGTAAGTTACAGCACTATGTAAATTTTTTTGCTCAAGGAAAAAATTGCTTGACCCTGACATGGTTTGAACCCATGTCACCTGGCCATGTCACCATTAAACATAATTTTGCTATCAAAGATTGAAGATATTTTGACCTGATTGGTTTCTTTTAAATCCAAATTCTAAATTGACCGATGGTTGCTCCTATATATTTGGTGCACCTCATTAGAGTACTAAGGTATATGATCTCACATGAAAAGGAATAAAAGAAATTGTAACAAAGTAAGCCTTTGGCAAACTTTAATAACGTTACTTGAAAAATTTTAATTAAATTTTACACTATATGACAACGATTGTAAGATTAAATAATGTTATTGAATACCTAGCGCCATAATAAAATAGGGCTTTTATCATTATTAGAATTTTTACAGAATATTTTCCGTCACTAAATATTCACATTTTTTCGTGCCAAGTGGAGCCAGTTAGAGTGTTGAAGATACTGTACCAAGTGTTCAACTGATTTTTTGGCTGTTTTCAGAGCAATACTTTTTGTGGGGTCAGAGATTTTTGTTGTTACTGTGAGGTGTTGCTCTAGTGAGGTAAAATCTGTTGCTAAGTCTTAGTTTGGGAAGAATTATTCTTCCTGTTGTTGTACAGAAGTTATTGCTGTACAGAGGTGGCCTGTAATTACAGGTGATAGTGCCTACTGTTAAAAAACTTCATATCAGATTTCATTTTTTATTCATTCAGCAAAGTGTTTCACTAGATCTATCTAGTTCAAACTTTTAATATACAAAATAAGCATTTTGCTTGTTATAGTATTTAAGTAAGGAAATGCATTTAACATATTAGCTTAGCTTAGTTCAAACACTTGATTTTCTTTTTTCAAGAGAATAGATTTAATTTAGAGAGGAACATGTTCTGAAAATGTTATTTTGAGTTGTTGATTTTTTGCAGCAGAAGAATAACAAGCAATTATCATAGTATTGCAAGCAATCCATAAGTCCCCTACCGGTAAGAGCCCAAGCAACATTCTGAAGGGCCATTGGCCATTCACCTAGGTTCCTATTTTAAGTAAATTTGTTGAAAAAGTTCTTTAAAAGTGATCACAGGAAACAGTTTTTATGTACAGACAGACGGACTAAAGGACACTCTAAAATTATCTTTTAAACATCCCTGTTATCAAAATATAACATTTTTAAAATCCTATCATGATTGAAGAAGTTGGAGTAAAAATTACCAATTTCTCAAAAAAAAGTCAAAAAGTTCAAAAGGGGCATAATTCTGGAAATAGTCTTGCTAGAGTATTGAACACTCACAAATGTTGAGTGATAATAATAAACATTTATATGAAGTTTGAAGTAGATACATTCAGAAAAAGAAGTTATTAAAAAAAACAATGTTTTTTCATGAAAATTTTAAGTTCAAGGAAGGTAATTCTGATAAATTTTGTGCTAGAGTTGTAAACCTTGTCACATATGATGTGGTTGATGACAAGCAATTTATATTTAAAGTTTGAAGAAAATACCTTTAGAAATAAAGAACTTATAGTGAAAAAACTTAAAAACTAGAATCAGAAATCTTGAAATTCAGTCTATTTGTTGCCATAGCAACCAGAATTTTCAACATAGGAAGATAAGAAAACAATGTGCATAATTTCTATACTGTCATCTTCCCATATGTCAAGTTTCATAGACATATTTTCAGTACTTTTTGTGATATCACTGGATCCAGGTTATGTGTAAAATTTGCCATATTTTCAGTCTATTTGTTGCCATAGCAACCAGAATTTTCAACATAGGAAGGAAAGAAAAAGACGTGCATAATCTCCATACTGCCATCTATCCATATGTCAAGTTTCATAAAAATATTTTCAGTACTTTTTGCGTTATCGCGGGATCCAGGTTATGTGTAAAATTTGCCATATTTTCAGTCTATTTGTTGCCATAGCAACCAGAATTTTCAACATAGGAAGAAAAGAAAAAGACGTGCATAATCTCCATACTGCCATCTATCCATATATCAAGTTTCATTAAAATATTTTCAGTACTTTTTGCGTTATCGCGGGATCCAGTTTTGTGGACGGACGGACGGACAGACGGACGGACTGACAGACAGACGGACGGAGGGTAAACCTAAAGTCCCCTCCGGTAAACCGGTAGGGGACTAATAAAACACATGAATTGTTGTCATTGTAATTAACCCCTACCATGCTGGAATCAAAGGTTATAATCTTTTGCCACCAGTATAGGACCAGGTCAGTATACAAATGTACTATGACAAGGCTGTATACTGTCCATAGCTCAGTCCTTATATTTTGAATAGACTACCGGTATTACAAATTCAAAGCAGGACAATCCATTTGTGTCATTACATAATTTCAGCAGACTAAGGGTTATTTGAAAATAAAATAAAATCTAACTTAATTTGGCGTATTACTATGTAACTATGTAAGTGGAAGTGACAATTAATGCAAAACTAAATTCTGCTTTGTTTATTAATCTTTTTACTTAAGCAGCATGCCACCAGATTCATGCTAATTTTCATGAAAATGTTGAAATGTATAAAAAAATAAAATACTGTGAAATGAATAGCATTTACAACCCATGTCAATAACCAAAAAGAGGTCAAAAAATCGGTCATTATTTATACGGAACAAGAAAGTTATTACTCAAATCGTTTTACTCTCCTTAAAATCTCAGTACATTTTTCTCAAGTTTGCCTTGAAATATTTTAGCTCATCTGGAGGCATGCAGCTTTAACAGTGAGTGTTCTGATGTTAAATCCAAAATAACAGGGGCAATGTTTATGTGTATGAAAAAATTCTTAGTTTTAATTTCTAGTTTATTTAATCAAGAATACAATGTTACATATGAATAAAATGTTACATATATACCTTATAGTCAAGAAGCTTTGTTCAAATATTGTGCTAATTTATAATTTCTTTTACCAATAACTTTTAACATTATATGATTAAAGGCTATTACAACAATTTATTTCTTGTGTTGTTTTTAGTTGAGGGTCACAGATGTACTTACATGTCAAGAACAAGCTATATTCCGAATGAATATCATGGCCCGAGGATGGCTTTTTGACCCTGTGATCTCTCATTGCTTTTAGTGGGTAAAGCTAATCAAGAATGCATGTACCTGTGAAGTTTAGAGCCTAAAGGCAGGACTTTCATGTTATAGTCTAAGTTGATGTTTTGTGACAAACAGACCGTCACACAGCCTAAAAACAATGTTACCAAATTTATTAATGGCCCTTGTAATAAATACCCTAAACAAAACTGGAATATATTTTAGATGATCAACATGTGGAGCAGGGGATGAATCAAGATATAAATTGTCTCCCTTGTTTGTAAATAGTATGACGCTCTGATGTTGGTAAAGTACAAGAATTTGCATAAAACAAAGTGTGAGCCACTCTGATTAGTTGTTATATGAGAGGAGGGTAGAAAACAAACAAACACTATTTTTCCAATGATTTTTATGTTTGACATTTTCGACACTGGTGACTATTAAGGAATAAAACATAATATAATTTTCTGATGGATACATGATGTCAATGTCTATTTAATCACTGATACACATATTGAACTCTATAAATGTGTCAAAAACACAATTTATAGTAGATCTAAACTTAGTTACAGTGACCTCGCATACAAAACAGTCTGTAAATAAACTCATCATAGTCACCCTGTTACCCGACAATTCAATACTAATGCAATAAGTCTGCAACGTGGGTATAACAGTAACTGTTATAATATGATATAAAAATAATTTACAGGTTTATTTTGTTGACAATATTATTTAACAAAAGATCTTGATGTTTCTGACAATCAAGGAAAAGGACATGATTTTTTCTTAACTATAAAATAATACTGTTTAATATTATATTTTCCCATAAACTATTGAAAATATATGAACTTTTAATTTCTGAGGGCCCCTATTTAATAATTCTGAACAAGGCAAGAAAACACAACAACCAAGCTAACAATTTAAACCCAATATGGAAATAGAAAAAAATATTTGACCCTTATTTTTGTAATTTTATTTATTTAAATAAATAAAAACCTTTTTTTTTAAAATTTTTTTTTTTTTTAAATTTTTAAAACCTAAATTTTAAATACCCCAAATTTTTTTCAAATAATATTTTCCCCAAATTATGTAATTATTATATAAATTTAATTATTTTAAAAAAATTTAATTTTTAATTTTTAATTGTAAAATAATTTTTTTTAATGAAAATTTTTTTATTTTTAAGAACTTATTGAAACAAATATTGCCAACTTTTCATGAAAACTTTAATCAAGTTATTGTGGTAAAATTACAGGTTCTGTTGGAAACTATCAGCCCAGTTCATCTTGTTTGAATCTCTTTGCTGCTATCTCTCTCTCCTGTAAAAGACAAAACAATAAATGTAAGATGCAACCAACTGTTTTTAGTTATATAAATTTCATTTTTAGTATGATTCTATATTGCCATATAAATATCAACAGCTCAAGGATACCTGAATATTCATAAGTTAAGCTCAGGTCAACTGATTTCCTACACACAAGACTGTTTAATTTAAATGAAAGAGCATACATGAATTTATTTGGATACATAATGTTCATTTTTACTAAGTGCTGGGGGGCCAAAAAACAACAACAACAAATTCACGCCACTATTCTAGTCAGACTAGTCTGCTTGAGCTAGAATAATTTTTTCCTCAGTCTTACTATTACCTAAGCTTGTGGCTGCTCTAATTTTGTATTTCTATACTGAAAACACCTAAACTTTAAGTTACTTCAACTGTTCCCAAAGCAGGGCAACATGTTTTAAAGTTGAGCAACATGTTTTACAAATACAATTGGATTTTGATTATATTCTTTGTAAACATAGAACAAAAGTAAGCCTGTAGTACATAAAGAAGTTATTTTCCAAGTAAAAAAATTCATTTGTTTACCTAAGCATATACAATTTTTAAGGCACTACAGAAGAACAAAAGTTTATCAATTTTATATAACTTAAATGGACCAGTCCATTATTCAACCTGGACAAAACTGGCTTATCATTTTTTTTGGAACATCTCAAAATAAGTTTTGACTGAACAGCAAACGGTGGGGCATGACACAGATGAGGTGGCTGATCTTGGTTAACACTTGTTGCGCTTGTAGATAGTTGTGATAGCAGGGTAAAGAATAATGTAATACTTACTGTTCCAAACTGGTAGAAATCTGGAGCAAGTTCACACAACCAGTCTGGATTGATAACTGTAACATCTCTCATATAATCCTTGCTTGTCTGTACAACCTCATTAAAAACAACCCTATAATTTGTATAAATAGTTATTATTTTTCTTATATGATAAAAGGCACCATCATCCAAATAAGTAGAACTTTGGACCGTGAGTAGGCAATCCGGGTTCAATTCCCGGACGGTGCAGGCCACTTTCATTGTTATTGATCATGAAATAATTTCTAAGATCATTTACACAGTACCTTTGCTCTGGCATGTACAGAAATTATCAGTTCCTTGTGAAAGTGACGTGGCAAGTACTAGTACTGGTAAACTGCTTGACAGCCTGCCCAGGAACATTGCTCTGGCTAAACTGTGCTCTGGTAAATTCAATGTGGCTTTGCCGTGATTCGAAGTGAAAACTACCAACACCACCATATATGATGAAAGTTGGACAATTAAATAATTAATGGACAAGTATGGAAAAAATATACAGATCTAGTAACAAGGTAATTAAAATCATTTTTCATCATGATCCACAACAGATAGCTCCTTGTTTTTTTTTCCAGATTTTATCTGTATGCATGTGTAATTATTTAAACATATTTATTACCATTTTGGGGGATGTTCAGTATATAGAACTGATGTTGGGTGTATATACAAGGAATGATCATCTCGGACTGTCCTGTAACCACCTTGAGGATCATACTTGGCTGCATTGGCAAAAAATCCAGCTGTGATACATTTACACAGGGGCTCGATGTTTTCTGAAAATATACATTGTACATATATGTAGACAGTTAAAGAATAAAATTTGTAAATTTACACAGTACTGTGATATAATATTGTATAGTAATTAATTTTAAATACAACATGGTTATGTACAATACCATTCTAGAATTAATACCTTGTGTTACTAACCAAATCTTTCTACAAATATCTAACAATATTTTTTTTCAAGGGCAACAACTCTGTTTTTGCAGTCTTTTTTCAATATTTTAAAAGGCAAATATCTTTATGTTGTTTATTGTTCAATATTTAGTTAATTTACTTATGGAGTGTAACAGTAAACCCTAAAAATATTCTTTCAGGATAATGCACCTTGTCTTAAAAACTGTGCCTTTGTCTTAATTGGCAAGTATTCCAAGTTTCATATTGATTCAGTGTTTGACTAATGTTTTTGCAAGATAACAACAACAATTAACAATGACGTTGCAATCATAATAGCTTGACTAGACAATCTGACAAGAGCATGTCATACAATGTTAAGTTTTGCAAATTTCTTGTTGATAATCTTTAATAGTTTTAAAATCATTCTACTTTACAAGTGAGGAATAAATCCAAAAATAAAGCTTTCAGTATAAAGTCCAGTGTCTTAGAACAGTACTGCACCTTGTCATGATAAGCAAGATCCAAGGTTAATGTTGATACCTTTCAAAAGTTTTAATATTGAGCTACCTTAAAGTTTTCACACCATGAAAACAATAAAGAGAAAGCAGTGATCATAACAGCTTAACTTTTTCTTCAAAACAGAAAAGCTAAAAATGAAATAAAGCATTTTTTTGTTGGTTTGTCACTCAAAAAACAATTAACAAAACGAAAATGTAACTCTAAAAGATTTTCAGAAAGTTGTCTTTAAAACAGTAGTCTCCCTTCTTATGCTGAACAATGACATTAAAATATCTTGTGATATTTAAGAGATATTCATTTGTTTTTTTTTGTTTTTTTTTTAAACTTAAAACATATCTAAGCAATTTCAGCAGGATAAGTGCATTAAACACAATGAAAGCAAGACAAGTCCTTTACACAATTTCAGCAGGACATGTCCTTTACACAATTTCAGCATTTAAAGTATGTTCCACAATTTCAGCAAGAAAAGTGCATAACACAGTTTCAGCAAGAAAAGTACATTACACGATTTCAGCAAGACATGTCTGTCATATCATTTCAGCAGCAAAAGTACATTACACAACTTCAGCAAGACGTTTATTACACAATTACAGCAGGAAAAGGCAATTACACAACTACAGCAGGATAAGTCCATTACACAATTTCAGTAGGAAAAGTCTATTACACAATTTTAGTAGGACAACTCCTTTACAAAGTTTCAGTAGGACAAGTACATTACACAATTTCAGTAGGACAACTCCATTACACAATTTCAGTAGAACAAGTACATAACACAATTTCAGTAGGACAAGTACATTACACAAGTTCAGTAGGACAACTCCATTACACAATTTCAGTAGAACAAGTACATAACACAATTTCAGTAGGACAAGTACATTACACAGTTTCAGTAGAACAACTCCATTACACAATTTCAGTGGGACAAGTACATTACACAAGCTCAGTAGGACAACTCCATTACACAATTTAAGTAGGAGAAGTCCATTACACAATTTCAGTAGGACAAGTACAATACACAGTTTCAGTAGAACAACTCCATTACACAATTTCAGTGGGACAAGTACATTACACAAGTTCAGTAGGCCAACTCCATTACACAATTTTAGTAGAAGTCCATTACATAATTTTAGTAGGAGAAGTCCATTACACAGTTTCAGTAGAACAACTCCATTACACAATTTCAGTGGGACAAGTACATTACACAAGTTCAGTAGGACAAGTACATTACACAGTTTTAGTAGAACAAGTACATAACACAATTTCAGTAGGACAAGTACATTACACAAGTTCAGTAGGACAACTCCATTACACAATTTTAGTAGAAGTCCATTACATAATTTTAGTAGGAGAAGTCCATTACACAGTTTCAGTAGAACAACTCCATTACACAATTTTAGTGGGACAAGTACATTACACAAGTTCAGTAGGACAACTCCATTACACAATTTAAGTAGGAGAAGTCCATTACACAATTTTAGTAGGAGAAGTCCATTACACAGTTTCAGTAGGACAACTCCATTACACAATTTTAGTAGGAGAAGTCCATTACACAATTTTAGTAGGAGAAGTCCATTACACAGTTTCAGTAGAACAACTCCATTACACAATTTTAGTAGGACAACTCCATTACACAGTTTTAGCAGGACCTATCCATTACACAATTTCAGTTGGACAACTCCATTACAGAATTTTAGTAGGAGAAGTCCATTATAGAGTTTAAACATTTGCAGTTCATTATAGAAATTCAACAGTAGAAGTCCATTATAGTGTTTCAACAGTAGAAGTCCATTATATAGTTTTAACAGTAGAAGTCCATTAAAGAGTTTTAACAGTAGAACTCCATTACACAATTTCAGTAGGACAACTCCATTACACAATTTTAGTACAAGAAGACCATTACACAATTTCAGTAGGACAATTCCATTACACAGTTTCAGTTGGACAACTCCATTAAACAATTTCAGTAGGACAACTCCATTACTCAATTTTAGTAGGACAACTCATTACACAATTTTAGTAGGACAACTCCATTATACAATTTCAGATGGACAACTCCATTACACAGTTTCAGTAGGACAACTCCATTACATAGTTTCAGTAGGACAACTCCATTACACAATTTCAGTAGGACAACTCCATAACACAATTTTATTGAACAAGTCCATTACACAATTTTAACAGGTTAATTGTAAGAGTACATCATTTACTTATTGGCGTCCGCGCCGAAGCGCGGCGCCTTTTATGTAATGAAATCAGATTTTGTGAAAGGGCGACAGCAACTTCTCGAGCCTTTTATAGTTGTTCATAATAAAAGCCGATCATTCCGATCGGTATGAGGGTGCTTGATTATTAATTAGTCGCGATATGTACAATGAATAGCGAACTGGAGAATTTCGCAATGCAAACATTTTCAAATTAATTAATAACCTTTTCCATCAATAAATCGCGCTCTTTGGGGTATTTTTATTTATCATTTTGTAGTACACAGTGGGTTATTATGGTATGTTATTCCGAAAGCTGTAAATAGAATGTTGAGTTGATGACCTAAATATTCTGAAAATCTATTTATAGAGGGAAGTACTCCTGTCGGTAATTCCCGGTCTCTCCTGGTCTATTTTGACGACCGGCGAATAGTACCACACGTTTATTGTCCGGTCTCTTCCGGTTTTGGAGTAGATGTTTGATATCGTTTCAGAACAGAACAAATATTTTACAGATAAATAAGCTTTTTTTCAAAATGAATGTTTGTCACTTAGTTTGGTTACAATAATTAATAAAAATAGATCAACTCTCAAATTTATTGATTATTGTTATACATAAACATACAATTCGAAAAAAAACCAACAACACAAATCGCATGTTTTATTTTATCTATATGAGATAAAAACAATAAATATGTACAATAATTGAGAAAAACTTTCAACTTTGAAACATTTTATTTAATTTGTTATTCGTGTTTAGTAAAGATGCCGAGGAATTATTCAAAGTTACAAATCAGATTTTATGAATTATTCAATTGATTGATAATTTAAAAAATGATAAAGAAAAATACAAATGTACATGTATATGGTTTAAGAATAAACAATATTATATATTGAAAGTTTAACCATAATTTACTGACTTTTTCCAGTTAAGTTTTGACTTATAATCGTCGGTCATTATGACAACTGAATTCTTAAAATAGTAGTAAACGTAAACACTCAGTATTAAAGTAGTGCATAAAACACAAAAAAGAAAAGAAAACAATATTCATAAAATCTGTATTTTTTTTTATTAAAAAAGATATGACAATTAGTGTATAATAAACATTTATTCTCAACATGGTAATATAACAAGTGTCATATTGTTACTAAGTGTGAACAGATAGCTTAAGAGGGGGTCTTCGCTAATAGCGATAACATAATAAGGGACAATTACACAAGTGTGGTGTTGATCATGCGTTTACTCATATGGATTATAAATGATTGTATACATGTATATCCGTTGCTATTAATAACCACGATCATAAAGAAATAACAAGTAATATTCTAATTTCTAGCATGCCAATCAAAGTTATAAATAATGGACAATGTCTTTCGTTCGTTCATTCATAAGTGATATACAATTCTGGTAAAAACCAATGAACCATTGAACAGTTTATAAGAATATCTTGTCATCATATATCTACTAGTTCATCTGCACCTGCTGCATTACTTGCTTGGACGCCCTTTGATGCTTTGCATCAATGCTTTTCTTGTAATATTTGTTATACAAGATGGAAGAATCAACAACATCAAATACAAAATGGCTGGCACACTTTCGTACTCAAGGATCATTATAACGTAGGAATGATGTTCAATGTAGCGGTAAATTAATGCCATGTTCTCACAGAGTGGCAGACTGTGTATCATTAAACATCTTTAATTAGTTTAGTTTACTTAGATAAATCCTTACAACATATACATATTTATAGGTCCTCCTACTCTTTGCTTGCAGCATGTATTTTTATGTCCTCCTATTCAACCAATTTTAACTCGTAACCTGTTTTTTTATGAATGGACTTTTTTCAAACTGTCTATAATTTTATGGATATCCAAGTGAAAATTTAAAATAGTCTGCAAGTAGTTTAGAGCCCTTCAGACTGCATAGAAGTGTAAGCTGGCCTGAGGCTTTCTACTGGTGGCAAAGGCTGATCACTTCTCCGTTCCAAAAGGGTAAGGGTTAGTAGTGAGCCAGAATAAAAATCTTAGAAAATAGTATTTTATCATTTTAATCCCAGGTTAATGTGTTTTTTTGTGTTTGTTGGATTTTGGTAGATAACAATAAATTTGACCATACCCTGACACATGGATGAGGGAGTGATGATTTTGTTTTCATTCCAAGCTGAAGAATTATTTGATTATTATCCCACTTGAATTACACAATCTAATATATAATGTTTAAAACTGGAAATAAACCAGAAATAACAATGCAGTCAAAACAAACTAATCACAGAGAAAATGTGAAGAAGAAATCAGCGATGATTTTTGTCAAATTACACCTAGATGTTGTCAGTATAGAGACAGACATTGTGATGAGTGATCTGATGAATTCTTTCAACTTGACAATCCTTCAATAAATACTTTTATCTTCCTCTCACCATCATGTTGTTAAGATTTTCACAAACTACACTGTGTATAACAGGTATCTCTAATGTGCGGATAATACCCACCACAACATTGTGCAATAAAATTGCTGCTGATAATTTATCTATCGCTATAAATTGAAAATTAATAAGAGGAAAGCCTTTTTCTTAATTTGTAACTTGTCTTTTAATCTTTTTGCTGTAAACCAGACTGGGAATACACACCCCATTCACAGTGCCAAACAAAATATCTTTAAGGATTTGTTCATCTTTCAATCTGGACATATTCATTAATTTGTCATTTTAAGGAAAAATTTCAAACATATACTGACTGGATAGCAAAAAATGCAGGTTCAAAAAAGGTCATTATTCTGTGAAAATCCATGTTAGAGAAAGGGCCATTATTCTGTAAAAATCCATGTTAGATTTATGGACCTTGGATAGTGACCTCCTATTATACTCTCAAATAATTATGTGGAGATTCAACCCATTCCATTTAGTTGTTTTGTAGATACCAACTTTCACACAAAAATCTTGAAACAAGTGTGA